GTATGGACCCTTTAATCTGCTGAATATGATACAAGGACTAGGACAATAAGGGAGCTTGGGGGTACTAATCTTAGTCTCTAATGCTTCATGTGACTTCCATGTCCAGTCAAATCTTACTGGAAAGAGGTAAAAAGCAGAATCTTATTCCAAACCAGATAGTGTGGAGAGTTTATCCAGAAAGCTGTTTCAAAACAGAGATTTGTCAGAAATACAATGCACCATCTCACACTGCAGAGAACAAACATAAAATGGACACAGAGTTATGCACATAATTAAACATTTTTACAGGGCATTTCTTTAACCTTGAACTGCACAAGCCAATCAACTAAAAAAAAAATCACTTCAAATCCAAGACAGGGCAAGTATTCATGAACTTACTTTAGGAAAAAACCCTCTTCCATTTCTATGGTAATTCAGGAAGATATAAGCCTACTAAACACAGTTACACACACAAATCATAAGAGAGAAAATCATTCCTTTTCTATATGGAAGATGGGTGAAATCTGACTTCAATCTAAAAACTCTCATTTCATTTTTGTTCTCACTGGGAAATGTAACCACAACAAGTGGTTTTATGGCATCTAAATACATGTACGTACAAAACAGGATACAAAATCATTATCAAATGCATCTCTCATCATATGCTTGTTTTACTTTAAAAGATAAATGTAGTATTTAAGAAAGCTCCAACACAATAATGTCACAAAAGCATAGGTTGCTAGGAAGACATTAAAGTGTTTCAATACAGAGCATGAAATATCGGACACCTAACTTGTCCCAAGACCAAGCCTGCTCAGTCTCAGTGTAAAGTACCGGTACTGTCAAACCCCTCAAGACTATGATACTCCAAGGTCACACGTTTTGTTGGCATTTCCACATCTTTCCTCCTTCACAACAGCCAACTGTGCTGCCAATAGCCAATTGAGACCCTACCCACCCACCCCCAGATAAAATTTGCCTTTCTTTTCAATAATAATGGATGCTCAGCACCTTTTTGCAAGGCTCCTTTGAGGATGCTATCCTTCTGCATATGCAAGACTTCCTTGGTCTTCCACATAGGCTGCCCTGCTCCATATCCTCTACCCTTATGGATCAAGCAGTAGCAGTAGCTGCTCTGTTCCCTCCCTTCACTGTTGAGTTCCTGAAAAAGATACCATTCAGGAGGTATTCCCTCTCCCCCCTCCCTCCTAGAAAAGGGGTCAGCAGTTCGATAGTACCCACTCAGCACACTTGCCCAGGCCAACTTTCTACCAGCCCTAACCAAGAATGTTCTTTAAGCCCCATTAAATATTGGGGTCCCATTTAAAAGGCTCTTTTGTTTTACTGATTTTTGTTTATTTTTCACATAGTTCTCCAAAGACCTTAGAACAGAGGTTTTCAAACTGAGGGTCAGGACACCAAAGTGGCTTGCGACCCCATTTTAATGGAGTTGCCAGGGTTGGCATAGATGTGCTGAAGCCTGGGGCCAGCACTGAAGCCTGAGCCTCACTGCCTGGAACTGAAGACTGAGGGCTTCAGCTTTGGGCAGGGGTAGGGTGTTCAGGTTACAGGCCCCCACTGAAGCCAAAGCCTTCGGCTTCCCTGCCCGAGGCAGTGGCATTTTGGCTTTGCCCCTTATCCCAGAGTTGTGGGGGCTCAGACATTGGCTCAGGCTTCAGTCCTCCTTTCAGGAGTTGCTAGTAATTTTTATTGTCAGAAGGGGGTCATGGTGCGATGAAGTTTGAGAACCCACGCTTTAGAGCAGTGTTTTTCAACCTCTTTTTTATAAAGTACCCCTTTAAAAAAAATTATAAGTACCCCCAGTACCTATAGTTTTCAGGCACACAATTTTTGCTAGTATTACAACACATCTGTTTAAACAACTTAACTGTAGCTGGGCGGGAAATTACATTTTTCAGTGTAAAAAGTACAAAAATAATTAAGTGCTATAAAACTTAAAACAAAAATTCAGTTTTCTCCAAATTTCAGTTGTGTTGACTCGCCCCCCCCCCCCCCCCGACTTCTTTCAAGTACCCCTAAGGGTACTTGTACCACTGGTTGAGAAACACTACTTTAGAATGCAACAGGGTCTGAACAAGAAGCCTAAGACTGGGCTTATAGTCACTAATGTATACTGCATGCCAGAACAGGATGACAATGATGACAACTGACAATATTTCCCCAGTGGCTATATTTGTTCTTTTACACTAAAAAAGTGGCATTGAAATGGATCAAAAGAGAACTTGCTCACTTCACCCCTTTTCTGCTCCAGTTTTCAGTTCTAACAAATGAGAATCGCACACTTGAACTGCAGCTCTCCAGTAAAAAGAAACAGGCCCATACAGAACTCTACTGTGGTCAACAGAGGCCTGCCCACAGAAGTGTAAGTGCAGTATCAGGGAGTTACATGAACAACTGTACGTGATGCATGCAATGTTGGCACATTTTTTAATTTCATTTGAGAGAGAAGGGCAGAAATATAAAGCCTGCATTAATTGTTCAAGGCAACTTCCATTCTGTTTGAGGATTAAATACACAGACAGAAAAAAATAGCAGATACCAAAAATAAAGAGGTAGTGTAGCTGTGACCCATCTTCCTGACTTACCTGTGAACTCATGGAAGTCCTTCATTCCTAGGAAAATGGCAGGCCTGGGTCATGGCCATCTTCTGTAACACATCTGTCTCTGTGTTCTTCCCCTATCCTTTCCCTAACACCTCTTATGGATTCCAGATATACATGTTATTGCTGATCTAGTTATATTAACTTAGACCATATGCTATACTACAGTCTGCAGTTCAAGCACTCATTGTGGCTTGGGGATGAGCACCAGCAGCTGAAGATATCAGAGTCAGCTTCATAAACAAGCCCTGATGCCACAACCCAAGCAGCACTGTGAAGGCACACAGCTCAGGAATTTGGAAACTATGCCTCGTGTCACAGAGAAAACAAATTCTGCATCAAAGTGCTGCACAGAAAAAGAAATTCCAAATTATTTAAGTCAGGGCATAAAAACAGTTTACAAAGAACTACCCTGCAGTTTTAATCAATCTAAATTAGAGACCACGGACCCAAAATTCCAAATGTTGCATTTGTCCCCTCTCTCTAATAGGTTTAAGCAAAATCCTAAATCTGACTGTTTCCAAACTCTATGTGCAGGAAGGTCAAGAAAATGGGAGTAGTCAAAATCCAGAACAGATTTTTTTGGCTTGAGTCCATCTCTACCATGCATATGAAATTTTACAATAAACTATATGAATAGTGGTCATTTTAAACATTGTCAGGAGAATACGGACTTAGGTAATTCTTCAACAAAGTACATCTCAGAAATCAGATGTGCAAAAGGTGATTTATATAAAAAAGACATCATAATCACCTACAGTATAGAATGTCATTAACCATATATGCAACTAAAATGTTCAGCAGTCTTCATATCGGGTTTAAATTATGCCACTAGTTCAATGTAACCTACAGTATCCACCGAGAATATCAACAGCACATACAATGTGCATTAAAAAAAATTCAGTGGTCCCAGATATTTAAAAAAGGACTAAGGCAGTAGCTATAATACACAGTTTTTTAAAAGGTACAGTTAATATTTTTACAGCTTAAAACTGTGGAAATATAACAACAAAATACAAGTCACATTTACAGCATAAGGCCCTTTGGTTTCTTAAGCAGCAAATAAAATAACAATTTCATCTGTGAAAGGCTTTGAAAAATAAAGTACAAGTTTTCTGTTTTAAAAAGTTAACTAGTTCTTTCCTTGTCCAAATAGCCAGCTATAGTCCTCAAAATATTATGTAAGAAAGTTCCTGAAGGTCCTAGGAAAGAAAGAGTTAAAACCAAACAGCAGTAACTGACAGAGCAGAGGACAAACTATCATGGACAATCTAAACATCTACCTGTTTGGAATCAGAAAAAACTACTGCTTAGTTTTCTGGACAAATTTATTAATTTTGGAGCAATGCATTAAAAGGATTTAAAATTGTTATCTAGTCACCAAATATATTCTACTGCTTACAGTCTTGCTTTTGAGAATTTACTTCATATGTATTTGTCCTTCATAAGAGTTTGACAGAAAAAAAACTGAGCATAATTGTGCATTTTAAGTCAAGGCAATTGTGGCAGACTGCTTTTTCACATAACTACACACAGCACTAGTTTTGTGTCGCTCTCTTCAGTCTCCTTTAATATAGATGGAAAACATTAAATGATCCAAAATATTTCCATGTAACTATGCACTATGTAACTATATCCAATTTTGAGGCAGATCGTCTTTGCCACTAAAAAGCCAGAAATATTTCACTTACAATATATATAAACGACTAAGTTACCCACTAGGATTTAGAAAGTCTTAGCATCAATGGTGCATGGCTTGTGCTCTGGTGCTGAAAATTGTAAATCACAAATCACAAAGTAAGTTATAATTTAGCATGACTATTGGAGTAGTGGTTTTCCGGGTCAACTGGATATTGCTTAGAGTTAATATCACAACTTCACACCCAAAATCTCCATTCCGTTTTAGTGAGAATTAGAATGACAACCATCAAAGCTGCTGGCTGGAGGCCCAGAGGGCAGGGGGTAAAAAGGCAGCTGCCCTGGAGCCCAGCAATTTAAATGAGCCTGGGGCTCTGGGTTGCTACCCTTGCAGCAAGAACGGTTGGAGCTCTGGCCCCTTTAAATCACTGCCAGATTCCTGCTTGGTGCAGTCCAGGCAGTGCCAAGGCTGCATGGAGGTAGGGCTAGCCCCTTGCCCTGCCCCTTCCTCTCGAGGCCCTGCCCCTTTTGGAGGGGTGGGGAGCTGAGCTCTCTCCCACTTTGCTCTTGTTGAACATTCTGCTGTTTAGTCTTTCTTCTTCTCTAACAAAAGAAAGTGAAAGCCAAATATTTCCCTTCAAAACCTTCATCTCTCATATATGATTAGAGATATTTTCATTCAATGTGTCTTAAAAAAACCCGACAACTGGATGCAGTGCAACAATTAAGTCTGTCCACGGTATGTCACATTACAACTCAGTTTGCTCTTGTTGAACATTCTGCTGTTTAGTCTTTCTTCTTCTCTAACAAAAGAAAGTGAAAGCCAAATATTTCCCTTCAAAACCTTCATCTCTCATATATGATTAGAGATATTTTCATTCAATGTGTCTTAAAAAAACCCGACAACTGGATGCAGTGCAACAATTAAGTCTGTCCACGGTATGTCACATTACAACTCAGTGTCATAATAAATTTAAATCACCACATCAGGATTTAGTACACACTGAACAGAAACTTGCATATTGTGAGGGTACTAAACAATATAAATTAGCTTCTTACAACTCAACCGGTTTTGTTCAATTTATGGAGTAAAATTGCACACAAATCCAAAAGCTATGTGGAACGAATCTCTGAATGATTATTAAATATTTAGCTTCTGCTTTTATGAATGAATGTATGCAGATTGATGTATCCTGACTTAAAGCCCTGAAGTTGGGGGAAATGGACCAAGATTATCGCACAAAACAACCTGACAATTATGAGATTCTCCTGCATGGTGCCTGAAAACAATATCTTTTTCCTGTGCAAGTTTTTATTTTGCTAGGTGAAAATTTTCCCCAAGTAAAATTTTTACCAATCATACAAAGATGTTAATCAGCTTACCCATCATTCAAATGTTATCAATCTTTGAAAAAGAATGCAAGATATTTTACCCAAAAAGATCTTTTAAGTCATTGCTAGCTAAGTTGCCGCTTGTCATAGTGTTTGTTGGCTGTGCAAAGTTCTGGGGGTTAAAGAAAGGATTACCCTGCATACCAAAGCCAGGTTGTCCTAGAACATTCATCTGTGGTCCCAAAACAGAACTGCTTGCACCAGGGGAAGCTTGAGGGGGCACAAATTGAGTAAGCCACTGGTTTGGTTTCTGTTGTGATAACTGGTTCATACTAACTTTGGGTTTTTGAGGACCAAAGAGACCATCTAAAGCAGACATGTCTGGGGGTCTATTGTGTGGTGTTGACTGTGAGATTCCAGAAGTAGCACTAACAGGGCTGTAGTTTGGCATATTGGCAGTTGGTACCATGTTCATCATGGCCATTCCAGTTGCGCTTGGACTACTAAAGTAGTTCTGGTTTGTAGTACCTGCCCCTAGGCTGAATCCAGAAGTCTGAAATCCCATGTTAGTATTTAGTCCATTTGTTACGTTTCGCTTTGTGCTGTCAACAGGTGATAAAAATCCCATTCCAACACCCATCGATGGGACAGAAGAGAAGCTACTTGAAGAAGCAACTTTCGGTTTGTTGATGGAATGGCTGGTCAAGGATGACATATTATCTATCAAGGTATCTGTCAAGTCCTTTGTCTGCAAAACATACAAATGTAGTTACATGCTTTTTCTGCTTACAAACACACTAGCAACACTTCATTAGATTGCTTTTGCCCTGCTTCTGCAGTTAAGGTACCGATAGAATTATTTTAAAACCATAATTTTCAGAAGCTGAAATTAATTCTATTCTATGTTTCCCTCAAACTTGGCATAAAACTTAACTTCTTTACCTTATACAAGCATAATTTGGTGAGGGGGGAAGGGGGAGAAGGGGCTGTAATCAGGTGTTTAAGATGTTGCACATATTTAGCATCTGAGACTAGCAAACTGTTTTTCTGAACTAACACTTTGAAATTGCTGGAGGAGAATTTTCAGCACAGCTTGAGGGAACTGAATAAAATTGTTTCAATTAAAGTCAAAATGATTCACGTGGCTAAATGCTCACATACAGTTCCATGTTAAAAAAAAACCTATGAAATACGTGCACTGAAATCCTCTGATTTTTTGAAAAAGTTGCACTAAGCAGATGTTCAGTAAATCAATATTCTATACTATAAATTACACATTTTCTACATATATGGGTCTAAATTTAGCCTTTAATTATATGTACAACTCTTACTTGAGGTCATTTAAAGTTGCATACTTCTCTCTGAAAATAAATGTATTGGGCTGCAACTGTATATTGGTCTGATTGGTCTGATATCATAAAAGTTACTTACAGATTATAAATACGAAGAATAACTAAGATGTGCTTTTCTGGTCTTTAACTATAGGCTGTAAATATGGGAGACATTCACTGATCAGCAAAGTGGGCATATGCTGATCAAAGGGTGTAAAAAAAAAAAATCAAGTACCTCCTAGTTTAGTGCAGTACAGAAAGGTTTTCGACAATGTTTTTATTTTGTAATGGAAGGATGAAAAAAAAAAATCACACTCCTCACTTTCCTCCCCACTTGCAAGAAAGTGTGTGGAAGGAAAGAGTATCCTCCTCCCTTCTTTTTCCCTCTTTGTTCTGCTTTTTTCTCCATAAGTAGCAAGCATTAGAATTGTAGTGCTAAGTGTTATGTAGATTCAAAGAGCTTGCAAATAAGGTCTTCAATCAGGAATCTGTCTGCAAACTCAAAAGCTGTGTGTTGTTATACTCTGGGGCATCTATTATTTGAGTTGATGACACACAAAATGTGAAAGTTTCAAAATCAGGAAAACTCTACCTGCTTTTACCGGTCCTGCTGCACTTGCATAGTATGGATGCTAAACAATTAAACCCATAATCAACTTCCAGATATTTTACTTCCCTTTATATTTTCAGTGTTATCAGCTGTCTGTGGCTTTGTCTGCTGTGTTGCTTCCTTACTTTTACTGTTCTTAAATTTGATTTACACTGCACTGAATTGATATCCCAGATAAACTGTATAAACCTGATTAAATTCCTTTTACTCTCCAGTGTCAGTAAATATTGTATTAATATTTGTGATGAGTGCATGACTATTTCTGGTTGGCTAAGATTTCTTAGAATTTTAAAGCTGGACAATAGGTGCAGATTTGCAGTTCATAAAACTATTCCTCTTGCATGCACAAGTCCATAGGACGCTATTGTTTTGAGAGCTTGTTTCCCCTGAAGATTTAGTAGTCAGACTTTAAGATAGAAATAGTTGATTAATTGGGCCTCTGGTACATATTTTTATGATTTTACTTAATGGCTATGACTTATTTATACAGCTGTTTTCATTATGCCCCATTTGGCTGTGTTTGCTAACTTGAGCGGTTATAAAGGATGATAAAATACATGTACTCCAATGGTAGTGTAAATTTCTTTTTATTTTCTTTCACAGAATCATAGAATACTAGAACTGGAAGGGACCTTGAGAGGTCATCAAGTCCAGTCCCCTGCCCCAGGACCAAGCACTGTCTAGATCATCCCTGATAGATGTCTATCCAATCTGTTCTTAAAATCTCCAGTGATGGAGATTTCACAACCTCCCTAGGCAATTTATTCCAGTGTTTAACCACTCTGAACGTTAGGAAGTTTTTCCTAATGCCCAACCTAAACCTCCCTTGCTACAATTTAAGCCCATTGCTTCCTGTCCTATCATCAAAGGCCATAGAGAACAATTGTTCTCCCTCCTTCTTGTAACACCCTTTTAGATACTTGAAAATTACTATCATGTCCCTTCTCGGTCCTCTCTTTTCTAAACTAAACAAGAACAATTCTTTCAGTCTTCCCTCATAGGTCATGTTTTCTAGACCTTTAATAATTTTTGATGCTCTTCTCTGGACCTTCTCCAATTTCTCTACATCTTTCTTGAAATGTGGTACCCAGAACCAATTGAGGCCTAATCAGCGCAGAGTAGAGTGGAAGAATGACTTCTCGTGTCTTGCTCACAACACACCTGTTAATGCATCCTAGAATCTTGCTTGCTTTTTTCCCCGCAACATGCTGACACCATCATTAGAACTAACCAATTCAGTTATAAGATCAAGATCACACACTCTTGCTCATCCAGAAATATAATTTATGCCATCATGTGCCGACAGTGTCCATCTGCTATGTACATTGGACAAATGTCTCAGACACTTCACCAAAGAATCAATGCACACAAAACAGATATCAGACAGTATCACAAAGAAAAAACAAAATACAGGACTACGTAGCACTTTAAAGACTAACAAGATCGTTTATTAGATGATGAGCTTTCATGGGCCAGACCCACTTCCTCAGATCAAATAGTGGAAAAAAAATAGTCACAACCATATATACCAAAGGATACAATTAAAAAAATGAACACATATGAAAAGGACAAATCAAATTTCAGAACAGAAGGGGGATGCGGGGGAAGGTAAATGTCTGTGAGCTAATGGTATTAGAGGTGATAATTGGGGAAGCTATTTTTGTAATGGGTAAGATAGCTAGGGTCTTTGTTGAGACAGTTCTTGCCATTTCAACCAGAAAGGGCATTGTCTCAACGACTTGATTAACTGCATCCTGCTTCAAAGACATTTTAACACCAGACTTGAAAGAGAAACCTCTGAACTGTCATTCATACTTAAATTTGACACTTTATGCCTGGGTCTCAACAAAGATGCTAATTACCTTACCCATTACAAAGATAGCTTCCCCAATTATCACCTCTAATATCATTAGCTCACAGACATTAACCTCCCCCCTCATCCCTCCTCTGTTCTGAAATTTGATTTGTTCTTTTTATATGCGTTCACTTTTTTTGATTGTATCCCTTTGGTATATATGGTCATGCCAATTTTCTTCCACAATTTGATCTGAGGAAGTGGGTCTGGCCCACGAAAGCTCATCACTTAGTAAACCATTTTGTTAGTCTTTAAAGTGCTACATAGTCCTGTTTTTTGTTTCAGCTACACCAGACTAACACGGCTACATCTCTATTACTGTTGTCTTCTGTTTAACTTGTGGTCTACTATAACCTCTAAATCCCTTTCAGCAGTACTCCTTCCTAGACAATCACCATTCTGTATGTGCGTGAAATTGATTGTTTCTTCCTAAGTGGAGTACTTTGCATTTGTCCTTATTAAAATTCATCCTTCAACCATTAAACTTAAACCATTTCTCTAGTTTGTCCAGATAATTTTGAATTTTGACCCTATCCTCCAAAGCAGTTGCAACGCCTCCCGGCCTGGCATCATCTGCAAACTTTATAATCGTACTCTCTATGCCATCATCTAAATCATTGATGAAGATATTGAATAGAACCAGTCCCAAAACAGACCTCTGCAGGACCCCACTTGTTATGCCCTTCCAACATGATTGTGAACCGTTATTAACCTCAGAGAATGGTTATCTTGCCAGTTATGTGCCCACCTTATAGTAGCCCCATCTAGGCTGAATTTCCATAGTTTATTGATAAGAAGGTCATGCAAGACAGTGTCAAATGCCTTACTAAAGTCTAGGTATACCACATCCACCGCTTACCAGTGCACTTTGTTAGTTATTGCTTTTTAAATATTTTTTTCTTCTTCCATATCTATGAATTGTTTAAAAATACATGTTCTATCTATGGTTTTTGTTTGTACTAGTGGTGCACATCCACACATTACCTCAGTACTGGTGTTGCACATAAGAAAATTCAGTGCACACATGGATGGAAAACATTACAGGGAGAACTGTTTCTAGCCCATTTCCTGCTACCTTATACACACCTTTAAAAATCTGTAATCAACATAGCATGCCAAGCTCACTTTCCTTATGTGCTGCATTCCTACCCTCCTTCCTCTCTTTATCAACTTAGGCTGTAAGCTCTTTGGGGCAAAGATTATCTTCTTGTAAGCTTGTATTGTATCTAGAACAACGGGGCTCCATATCATGATGTTACTTTTGGACATGACTGTATCTTAAATCTTAGTAATATTGCAATTGATGCATTGAGCAGAACAGAACAGTTTGTTCTTGTTTAGCTACAATGACTCCACAGTATCACTATAACTGAAAAACAGGGAGCGGGGAATGTCAATAAACAGAGAAGGTAAGACATAGAAAATAGTAATTTCTATAACCCATCGAGTGCTTGCAAGGAGGTAGTGATAAAGTTACCATGGAAACTGTTTAGTGGAGACCTTTTCTCACCTGTTTCAGCGGAGCTGTGACTGTATGTTGTTGAGGCTTAAGTGGTTGCTGATTTTTCAACTTTTGTGCCTGTTCCTGTTCTTTTGCTAATTTTTGCTTCTCCTCAAGTGTAAGTGATACCTTTAAAACACAGAGCATTAGCATTAACATTGGATAGAAGATCTCATGTTATAGTCATGGGTATTGATAGAAAAAGTCAAGGACAAGTCACAGGCAGAAAACAAAAACACACAGCCTGTAACCTCAGTTGGTACTCAGTGAGAAGGAGGGGGTTTGGTGAGCCTGGCAGGATCTCTACTTAATTCCTTGTGGCTTCATGGAAATGGCGACGTATCCCTCTTTCAGCTCCTTGGAGGAGGCGCAGCCAGGGGACTGTGCACGCTGCCTCCACCCTGAGCACCAATTCTGAAGCTCTGATTGGCCAGGAACTGCAACCAATGGGAGCTCTAGGAGCAAAAAGAGGAACACATCACTGCTTCTCGGGAGTCCCTTCCCCACACCCATCGTAAATGCTGACCCGAGCCCACAACCCCTCCTGCACTCTAAGATTGTCCCTGCTCAGGTGGCTCATAGGCCAGCTGCAGCAGCCACTGCAGAAAACAACGTGGTCCCGAAAGTTACAGAATCCATGACCTCTTTGACAAATCTGCAGCCTTATCCATGACTACCTAATTTATAATACATTAAATCTAAATGACAGTGCTAGTTATTTAATGATATGGTACATACTTTTCCTTCTAAAAATAAACGTCATTTCAAAACTTATCACAAATACCTATCACTTTTAGAAAACACAAGTAATTAAAAAGAAAATGAATTGTTAAGGATATCAAAACTAACACTACCCACATAGTTTCTTCAATATGAAGAAATTACTATTTTAAATCACAATACCTCAGCCACAATTTGCTGGGGTTTAAAGAAAAACAACATATGTTATGTACATATTTTATTTGAAAGAATACATGAAAAGATCAGTTAACATGTAGCTGACTTGTGTGTGATGTCATAATTGATGTTTGTTAGAATTGGTTTTTCCTCAAGAATAATGTAGGTTTAGTTTGACAGAAAAATCTAAGCTACCAATTTATCTGTGGATTGTCATTTAAGGCTCATCAGTGTATCATAAAACAGAAACAAGGTAGGTAAAGGAATATCTTTTACCGGACCAACTTCTGTTGGCGGAAGGTACAAGTTCTTGAAAAAAAGTTACTCACTTCATGCAGTAACAATTGTTGTTCAAGATGTGTCCCCCTGTGAGTACTCCACAGTTAGTCTCAGGCTCCTCCTGGCACCACAGATGAGAGACTTTGAGAGCAGCCATAGGGCAAGCTGTGCATGCACAAGCGGAGAGTGGTGCTCCCGCCTGTGAAGTAGCGCATGGAGCCCGCTTCTCCTTGGTTTCTTCTTTGACACTCTCATGGACTACTATTATTGCCTGAAGAAGTGGGGAGGAGGGCAGGTAGTGGGACACCCACGGGGACACACATCTCGAAGAACAATCGTTACTGCACAAAGTGAGTAACTTCTCTTTCTTCTTCGAGTGATGTCCCTGTGGGTGCTCCTCAGTTGGCGACTGTGTAGCAGTACCCATTGAGATGGACTTCAATCAATTGCTATACATTGTGGAGAAAACAACGCTGGCTACTGCGGTATCTGTTGCGGAGCATGGTGGAATAGCGTAATGCTTTATGAAGGTGTGATTAGATGACCATGTCGCTGATCTGCGTATTTCCTGGAGATTCTCTTTATGACAGCAGCGGAGCAGAGGAGAGAACTGAGCTCTGTCTGTGGCCGAGGGCAGCGAAGAAGGAACTGAGGAGAAGCGGGATGTGCATGCTACTTCAAAGCGGAAGCGCCACTTTCTGCTCACGCATTCACAGCCCGCCCAATCGCTGCTCTCAAAGTCTCTAATCTGTGGTGCCTGATACCAACTGTGGAGCACCCACAGGAACATCACTCAAAGAAGAACTACACAGAGTTCTTTATGTCGAATAAAAGAAACCAGAGTGTCTGAGGCTTAGAAATTAGAGTGTTAAGTTTAAATTAAATGTAAACTTAACTCCGACATTCCAATTTCTTTCATCAGACCTGAAAAAGAACTCTCTAATTTTTATGTTTTTACATCTCATCTCAGAGTAACATGGTTGCAACAACACTGCAAACAAATTAATAAAATTATATAACGTATATATTTTTTCAAAGGGGTTTTGTATTTATATTTTGAGATTGCTGAAAAAAGTTTTGAGTATTTGAATTTAATTTTTGTTGATGATGGAAGGGGAATTGCCTTTGTAATCTATTTTAAAAGAAGGAGATAATTTGGAATATAAGAAGGAAGATAATATTTCTGAATTTCTTTTGGCTACTACTATAACTAGAATAGTTGATTTATTTAGTAGTAGTAAGGACCTCAAATAGATTATCAACTCTAAAATTAAGCAGTCTGTTTTCTTTCATATTTTGCCTCCTTTAGCTTTTTGCTATCATGGTCGCTGTTTCAATTTTTTAAGTTTGCCTCTGCCTCCTAACCCAGCAATTGTTTTTCCTCTATATTCCCTTTGGTATCCTTAGCTTAAGGCTGCATGAGATACCGTAAACAGAAAATGCAAACCAAACTACCAACATCCTGCTATACAGTTTTGTTGTTGGCACAGTAGGGGAAAAGTCTAATTGATAATATTACTTGCTGCCTGTACTGCTGGTGTCAGTTTTCAGTAAAATTGTTTCAAAGAGATTCAGGAACATAATGAAGAATTTAAACACTTGTCACTACTCTTCACCTTGTGGACATTCAGAGTGATCTGCTGAGCAAAACAAGTCAGTTATTCTCTTTAAACATTAAAGTATCATATGTATTTATATGCATATTTTTGGCACAATTCAGGCCTTTTGTTTCTAGCATATATGCCTTTTACACAAGGCAGCTGCATAACAAAACACTAAAGAAAAATAGCTTACCTTTTTCTGTTTTGATAATAGCCCATTCTCTTTACTATCTGATCCACTAGCTGGAATGTCTCTTCCAGTACTGCTGAACACCTTGTCAATCTGTTCAAATTGAAAAAGATATATCCATGAACAATTTTAATTTTTGTAATTCACAATAAATATAAAACAAATATTACAGAGCTAATTTCAAATGAAATGCCTCTATGTGTAATGAATGCAAAATATTGTCTCTTACCTGATTACCTGTACTATTAGATTTTGTTTCTTCAGATACGTTCATTTGATTATTTATATCCAAAGATCTGTAGTACAAAGTAAACAGTCACAATCTTTATCCAAAGTTAATAATTCTGAAAGTTAACATAGAAGATAATTTTTCTTTTCACAGCACAGCTGTATTTTGTGTGCGCATGCATGTATGAAATTAAAAAGATGGTATTTTAAATTGGAATGAGTTATTTAATGCGAAATTTCAAATACTCTGTTTCTCTCCAAAACAAGAGTAGGTAGATATGTAAAGCTAGTTTAGAGTGATTTGATTTAAACCCATGCTAAATCTTGTGAAATGGACCTAGCGTGATGAGTTTTGTTTTTGAAAGGACCCAAATTTTCTCCAGTGTAATTTTTCAGTCCTTGATAACTAATGAAAGCCAACCGTTTAAATATATTTTCATAGTGTAGAACTGTACTAAAAGACGTTGATGTATAGACCATTACCATATTAGTAAATTTGTTAGCAAACTAAAAAACACTGACAAATGTAGTTTAATTTTATTACAATACTTTGCAGTAAGTGTACAATATTCAATTTTGAGTCAAATCTTTGCTGAGAAAGTGGTGGTGGTAGAAGAAAGTCACCCATTTATGAGTGTGATCAGTAACTGAATTAGAAACTAGCAAGGCTCTACAGCAGGGATTGGCAACCTACACACCTGCCACTTCTGATTTTCAGTGGCATGTGTAACGGGAGCTCAGCCCTGCCCCTCCTCCCCCGTGCAGCCCTGCAGCTAAGGCTCCTCAGCGGCACCTGCGGCTTCAGGGGCTGGTCTAGGACCACGAGACTGCGGTAGTGGCGCCTCCAGGGCTGGCCTGAGACCACATGGCTGTGGCAGTTGCTGCAAAGGGCGTGAAGCTAGGTAAGCATCACCGCTCACGCCGAGTCCACCACACTCCAATCCCCCTCACTTACTCCCCTTCCCCTGCCAAGACCCCCCACCTGTAGCTTGCTCTGACACCCTCCGTTGTTCCTATACCCTACCCCCTCCTCGCCAGACACGCTACCTCCATCCTGCTCCTGCACCCTTCCTGCTGGCCTGGCGAGACACCTAACCCCACCCTGCTCCTGCATCCACCATTGCTCTTGCACCCTCCCTCCTGGCCACACACTGCATCATCCCTTGCTCCTGCTCCCTCCCCCGGCCAGATACCCTACCTTCCTCACAGATCTCGCATTCTCACCCACTCTTGCACTCCAACTCCCTCCCAGATCCTGCACTCCATCCCTAACCCACTCACTGGCAGCCCTGTCTCGCACACTGAACGAAATTTTTGTCCCTACTCCAGAGCCTAAGGTAGTCCATAACATCCACTAACTCCGGAACACCAGAAAAGTAAATCTGGCCAATGGGAAATGCTGAACCTCAGTCCTCCCTGTCCCTTCCCCTCACCCCGTGAGGCTGGAGCGTCAGACAAGTGAGGTATCAGAAGAGTGGGGGCCATATCCATAAGGATTGGGGGCTCAGGGAGTTTTTTTTGCTTCTCACTTGTGTGGTCCCCAACTGATTTTTCTGTGGGGCACTGGCCTCTGACCCAAAAAGGTTCCGCACACTTGCCATAAAGAAAGAAAACATTGAAACCTTTTGTGTTGGACATAAATTAGTATTTTACTTTATTTAAAACTAAGTTTGAGAAACTAACATGAGAAAGTTAAAATGCTTATTCTGCTTATTAATGTAAATTAAACCGTTCTCCCTAGCAGCATCTGGTTCAGAAAATATGGTCACCATACCCAGCTTGCTACTTCCCCCTCCTCCCGCCCCGGCACACAGATCCGTAAATAAAAGTGAATACGTTAAATCTTGGCACGCCACTTCTGAAAGGTTACCAACTCCTGCTCTATAACATGCGCAGCAACAACTAGAGATGTTTCACTTTTGCTCATTCAGGTGGAACTGAAATTCATTATAACACACCCACACTTACTTTTGCTGTTCTTGCATAATATGAAGTTGTTCAAGTTTGGTCTTATGTTCAACCTCCAATCTACTAAGCATATCTTTTATGACAGAAATGAAGGAATTGAACTATAAAGGAAATGGGTGAAAAGTTAAGATTTTGCATTGTGATGATAAATAGAGAGAGAGATGCATTGTGTTCTAACAATTCATTGCTAGAAATCCAGTTACATACAACTTTCAACAACTGTTCAATAGATTTATAAAATCTGTATTAGGTATTCACAGATATAGTAAGAAAACACAGTTACTTACCATCATAACTGTTGTTCTTTGAGATGTGTTGCTAATGTCCATTCCACTTAGGTCTGCATGCAGTGCATGCACAGATTGTTGGAGAGTTTTCCCTTAGCAATACCCGTCAGGCCAGCAGGGGAGGCCCCTGGAGTGGCACTACTATAGCAGTGCATATATACCCCTGCTGGTCCTACAACCTCTCAGTTTCTTCTTGCCGGAATCCTCCGACATAGGGGAGGTAGGTGGGATGTGGAATTGACATGAACACCACATCAAAGAATAACAGTTACGAAGATAAGTAACCATTTTTTCTTTGAGTGCTTGCTCATGTCCATTCCATTTTTGCAACACAGCCCTGCCCACTGCCGCATCCTCCCTGGCTTGCTGCGCTATTTGCAAAGGCGTGCACATATGACTATGTGGCCACCCTATAGATTTCCACAGTGGGCACCTGAGCAATGAAGGCAGTGGAAGACGCTTGGACCCTAGTTGAACTAGGGCGTGGAGAGCCAGAAGGGGTATATGCATGCTGCTGTAGCAGTGCCACTCCAGGGGGCTCTCCTCCTGGCCTGACGGGAAAACTCACCGAAAATCTGTGCATGTGGCACACGCACACCTAAGTAGAATGGACATGAGCAAGAAGTGTATCTGTTTTTGCATAATATAGTCAACTGTGAGCAGAGTAATGTGGTGGGGCTGTTATTTAGTCAATTTACTGTCTAAAAATTTCCTCTTAGGAATTCACTTTCCTTCTAAATTTATTACAGAAATATAATTGCACTGTTACAATATTGGCAACACTTGTAAAGAAAGCTTTAAAAATGCATTCTAGCTTTTGATGATCTGTACAATGTATTAATGTTAGTTGGTTAATTACATTTAGAAGGCATTGCATTATAACTCCAGAGCCCCTTTATTTCTGATGCTTTGATTAAATCCCAATAAATTTTGTTGTGAACACTTTTGTGGAATATTTGAATGGGACTATATGTTTGCTAATGGGAAATTTCCCAACAGCCTTATGAAGTTCTTGTTTACATTTTTTCCAGTGTTTATATTCTACATCCATCATCTGCAAACTCAGACAAGTTTGTAGTCAGTCTCTTGAGTGGATCACTGTCTATATAATGTAAAAACAACAGACGAGTAGAAGGAGTATGTGTCAGGGAGTGATTTCAGTTAGAAATATTTACTTACCAACATCCTGGCTAGAAAACCCAAAATGCTTTAAAATGCCAGAAAGTAAACATGGGTTTGTTAGAGGATTTTCTGAAGTATGTAACTCTCTCAAGCTTCTATTAACCATAAATCAAGCCTGTTGGCTGACAATTTCTTACATCTGAAGGTATGTATTTCAGTTACCAAGCTAAACTGGATTTCATTGCCAAAAATATTCTAGAAGAAGCATTAATTTAAGACAGAGTTTGAAAACTGAAGATCTAGCAATAAGTAATGGATATAACAGGTCTAAACATGAAAACATCACATTTAGAATCTTAAAATAAAACTACTGACCAGATCTTCTATATAAGCACTGCTCTTTAAGGCCATGAATTCTGATACTATCACTAGAAGCATTTATCACTGATTATTAGTCTCACATTGAAATGTGCTAACATATACAGCATTTTGTCTGAGAACTCTTGATTTTGTATCTACTTCAAGACCAGTTCATTAAGTAAAAGCATACAAACACAATTAAAACTGTTCGTACCTGATTGAGATTAAGATTGTTCTCAATACTAAGTGGAATTAGATGGGGCAATACTTTTCCTGCAAGCTGTTCTTTGGTCATTCCCAGCTTCTTATGAGTAAATGTACATTTGTAAATTCCTGATATTGAACATTAAAATAGCAAGATTGGTAGTTTAGTGGTTAATATTGTGAACAAGCTCCAAGAAAGCTACACATACTTTATGTACTGATAGTAAAACTGAACAAAGAACTCAAAGACCAGAATACCAGGGGGAAAAAAATCTATACATAAAGGAACTAATTCATTTTCAACTAAATATAAAATAAAAAACACACAAAGGTGAAAGACTTTAGTATTGAACTCCAATGCAACTTGGTTACAAAAAGAAAGGTTTTTCACAACCTGTTTTAGTTGTTTTGAACTCATTTTATGCAACTTAAGTATCACAAGTAAACTTGGAAGATCAGAGAACCCAGCTCATTAGAGTCCAGAAAGAAACTGCATAAGAGAAATGCAACTAGGCAGTGTAAAGGGATTCTGTGCTGGACAGAAAAGCTATTTGGAAAGCCAGATTTTACAATTCAACTGCTGAAGAGGAAACAGGAGGTAACAGGGATTTATAATGCTCTAAGGCAGATTCAGATTACCCCTGCAGCTGTGGAGACCAAAAGAGCCACAGAAGCTCCATTGGTCCACAGACAAGGAGGACAATTGTGAAATACATCTCATACAGAACAGAGGAGATTTAGGAATAAAATTTGGAAAAAAAAGGCCATCTCTGAGAAGTCAGAAACAGCTAGAAGGCTTTTACATGAATTGTTAGCTAAGGAACTATGCAGAACCATCAATATACCACAGAGATTATAACAAAAACCATAACAAGGAGGGACATTAAATATTAATTACCTAAAATTCCCATAAGCACTGCAGGTTCCTTAGATGGAATTTGTTGCAGAAAGGGCAGAATGTCATCAAGTACAAACCACTTATCCAAATATTCCAAAATCTTTCCCAAGCACACTAAGGAGTTTACGCGGACCTATTAAATATGTAACAGAAGTTGAGCAACATCTCTAGTTTCTATTTAAAACATTTTTTAAAAGAACAAGTTTAAATCTTTATATAAACAGATTAAACACAAAAATCAACTTTTATTTTAACAAAAGTGTTAACAGACTAAATAAAATAACTCAACATACTACATTTTTACAAGACTGAAATAGACAGAACCCAAATTTCTCTAATATACAGTTATGATTACACATTACTATAAAAATGACATCTTGAACCACAGACATGAAGGGTTAGCAGGGATCTTGAGAAGTTATCAAGTACAGCTCCAATGCCAAACCAGGACAAAGTAAACTCAGACCACCCGTGACAGGAGTTTGTCCAACCTGTTCTTAAAAGCTTTCAGTAATAGGGATTCTATAACCTCCCTTGGAAGCCTATTCCATTGCTGAACTACTTTTACAGTAGTAGTAGTAGCTTTCTTAATATCTATGCTAAATGTCCCTTGCTGCAGATCAACCCCCATCAGCTCATCACTTCTTGTCCTCCCTTCAGTGAACATGGAGAACAATTAATCACAGTCCTCTTTTGTCTTCAGACATGTTAAGGGCTGCTCTAGTCAGGGTGTGTCTAGACTACAGGGGGGGGGGAGGTTTTCGAAAAAATTGGCCTTTTAAAAAAAAAAAAAAAATCCCCTGTATCAAGACTGCTGGCACATTCTTTCGAAAGTAAATCTAAAGAACACGGCAGTTTTTTCAACCGCGGAAAACCTTGTTTTACGAGGAATAACGCCTTTTTTCGAAAGTGCTCTTCAAAAGTGTTTTTTTAAAAAAAAACGCCATGTAATGCAAACTGTGCTTTTTCGAAAGAGAGCAGCCAGACTGTCTGGATGCTCTCTTTCGAAAAAGTGGCTTGCTTTTTGAAAGTACTGGTTTTAGTCTAGATTACAAACCTCTTTTGAAAGAGGCTTTTTCATGAGATACTTTCGAAAAAAGTACATGAGATACTTTCCAATCTAGGCTTGCAGTCTAGATGTAGCCTCAAGGTCCCCAATTCAGTCTTGTTTTCTCAAGACTAAACATGTCTTTTTTTGTAAACAATCCTTTCCTCACAGGTGAGGTTTTCTATGGATAAACCGATAAGGAATAACCTTTTATCATTTAACTGTTCTCCATCCAATTTGTCTAGATCTTTCCTAAAGTGTGGTGACCAGAATGGGACTCTGTATGCCAGCTGAGGCCTCAACAGTACCATGTAGAATGGAACCATTACACCTCCATGTCTTACATACAACAGTTCTGTTAATATAACCCAAAATATTAGATGTCACATATTATATTCCCCACTCAGCTGCATCACATTGTTGACAAATGGACAATTTGTGCTCCACTATAACCTCCACATCCTCTTCAGCAGTCATCACCTCACAAATTATTCCCCATTTTGTAGTTTGCAAGTTTGATTTTTCTTTCATAAGTGAAATACTCTGTACTTGTATTTATTGAATTTCATTTCTTAGATTTCTGACCAATTCTCTAATTTTGTCCAGGTTGCATTTTATAAGCACACTCTCCTCCATTATCCAAGTTATTAATAAAAATACTGAATAGTACTGGAACCCAGGACTGACTCCAATGGGACTCCACTAGATATGCCCTCAGAGTTTGACAGTGAATCACTGATAACCACTCTGAGCAGTCTTTCAAAGAGTTGTGTATGCACATTAAGAGTAATTTCATTTAGGCTACATTTCCAAGTTTACGTATAAATATGCTATTTGTGTCAAAAGTCTTACTAAAATCAAGAGACATCATGTCTACTGCTTCTCCCCTGCACCTCACCCCACTTACTAGGCCAGTTACCATGTCAAAGAAGGCAATTCGATTTTTAGCATGACTTGGTTTTGAAAAATACATTCATCCACCCATCTTACTATACTCTAATTGCTTACAAACTGATTGTTTAATAATTTGTTTCAGTATATTTCTAGGTATCAGAGTTCAGCTTACTGGATTCCCCAAGTCCTCTTTGCTCCCTTAAATAAAAAAAAAGAAAAGAAAAAAAAAGAAAAGAAAAAAGAAACTCTATGCTTGCCTTTCTCCAGTCTTCTAGGACCTCACCCATCCTCCATGAATGTTCAAAGATAATTACTACAGGTTATACCCTTAACTGGGACTCTCTAATCTGGCAACATCTGTGGTCCACAGAGCCCAGGTACAGGGAGGTCAGACTGTGGGGCAGGATCATTGGGGGGAGCAACTCACATGGGAGCCCCATGTTGGGGGGGGTGCGTAAAGGGACAGGTAGCACAGCGGAGAGTCTGCTCCCTATCTCCACACACACCTCAGTGCACACCACCTTGGCCCAGCCCCAGCCCCAGCCCCAGCTGCAGCCAGGGACCTCCAGCCCTGGCCATGGAGCTCCCAGATCTGGCAGCAGCTGCAGAGCTTGGGGTCAAGCAGCAGTAGCTGCTAAGGAGCCACAGCTGGGCAGGCAGCAGCAGCAGAGCTAGGCTAGAGCCTTAGCAGCTGGCAGGAGTTCAGCATGGGCCACGTTGGGAGGAAGCTTCCCTAGTCCAGCAAATCCCCTCGTTTGGGACTGGTCAGGTCCTGAGGGTGCTGGACAAGGGAGGTCCAACCTGTAATGGTTCAGAGATTTTTTTTCCGCTAGCTCTTCAAGTACCCCAAGATGAATTTCATCACATTGTGCCAACTTGAATACATCTAATTTATTTAAATAATCTTTTATCTGTGGAGTCCCTATTTTGGCATGTGTTCTTTCCTCCTTGTTGTTAGGATTAACTGTGTATCCAGTCAGCATTAAAATAGGCATTAAATACCTCAGTTATTTTTATGTCATCTGTTATTAGCTCTCCTTTCCCACTAAGCAGAGGACTTAAGTTTTCCTTCATCTTTTTCTTGCTCCTAATGCATTTAAAGAAGCTCTTATTGCCTTTTTTCCCCCTCTGCTTCATGCAACTCATTTTGTGCTGCCTTTCTGATTTTGGTCCTACATACTTATACTGTTATTTTATACTACTCCTTATCAATTCATCCGTTTTCCACTTTTTGTGGAATTCCATTTTGATTTTCAAGTCCTGAAGAGCTCCTAATGGAGCCATACTGCCTCTTACAACTCTTCCAATCTTTCCTTTGTATTGAAATAATGTGCAGCTGTGCCTTTAATAAAGTCTCCTTGAGAAACTGTCAATTCTTCTGAACTTCTATCTCCCTTAGACTTTCTTCCCTTGGGACCATAACTACCAATTCTCTGCGTTCACTGAAATTTACTTCTTTGAAGTCCATTGTTCTTATTCTCTTGCTCTCACAGAATCTTGAAATCAATCATTTCATGATCATTTGCACCAAAATCGCTTTTCACCCATTTCCTTCTTGTTGGTCACAAAGTCTAATATGGCCTAATAAAGTCTATCCCCCTCATTAGGTCTACTTTCTGAAACAGAAAGTTGTCCCAAATATATTCCAGAAGCTTATTGGAAATTGTGTTTTGCCTTATTATTTTTCCAACAGATGCATGACTGAAGTCCCCTATTACTACCAGATCTTATGTTTTGAATATTTCCACGTTTCATGCAGTGTGTATCTCCTACAACCCATCTGTTTTGCTAAAATATCAAAACAAGTTTATTTTAATTTCCAGTATTACATATAACTTGCATGGGGAAAACATCACATTGAAAATATTCCATTTGGCAAGACATGAATTCTAATGTTAACTCTTTTCTGCTATCAAAAATGTAGAGGGGGAAGAATAAAGACTGTACTATTCAGTACAATTCATTTACTTGTATTTGATACAGTCCTCCAACAGAAACTGTATTAGAATTAAACTAACTGCACACTTGATACTATGCACTAGACAAACTATGATAGAATTTCATGTTCTGTTGTAATATTGTCTTTGCACTGATCATGCACAATACATTTTTGTTGTAATGTAAGTGTTATCTGCTTAATTTAGTAGAATGATACAGAACCATAACTTAGTAAGTGGTGTAACTCAATACAGAAACTAGAGGAACCTACAGTATCCTGCAGGACTCCTTCCCACACATCACAGGTTGTCTTGGATTTCTTCAGCAAATAAGAGCTATCCCATGGTTGCTAAGATGATTTCAACACTTCTGCTTTGCTTCAAAAATCTTTTCTGATCATAAATAAGGCTCAAATATTAATAATTGTAGGATATTTTTAAAATGGGGGCATAAACGTTAGGATCCTAAGTGCATGCTTAGATACCCAAGTTACTTCATTTTGGAACTTGATGGGTGTCCCATTATTTTGAAAAATCTCTCTATTCTAATGAGAGAATCAAATAAGACAATACGGTTTTCCTCTGATTTTCAATAAAAAAAATATGTATAAATATACTTAAATGAAATGGCCAACTGCTTTAACAAACAAGACTCAAGTCTGAATGCAAGAATACTTAACCACTCCAATTATTCACATTTTTTGACAGTACATATCTAAAACATGGAGTGTGAGTGTGGGAGGGGGGGAGAAGAGGGAATCCAGAAAACTACCTTGAAAATTTATACAATTCATATCAAGGAGCACTAGATAATTACTTTTCACATTAGCTAGTATTTTCAAACAACAAAAATCAGTATAGAAATGAAAATCCAGAACTGTTTTTGAAAAAAACATAAGAAAGTTTTGCATCAGTGACACACAAGTGATTGCTGAACAAACAGTGATACAAAAAAAGCTGAAGTGAATGCACAGTATTATGGTAGGTGTTGCTCTGTCTTCTGCACAAAGTTCTTACTTTCCAGCAGCATGTTGATAATAATTAAAGCAACAACAGAGAAATCAAAATTATGTGAGCACTATTTTAATGTTTTGGGGATAGAGGATGGAGAGATCAAGAACATTAGTTTACTTACAGCAAGAGAGGAAGTTTGCAAACATGCATTTTTAATTCTTGGTATTAATGCATTTTTCATTGATGGATAGTCTATTAGGTTGGCAAACGTAGGAATTATGTTAAGGCAAAGTTCCTGTAAAGAAACAACCACAGAAGTTTTTTAATACTTCACTTTAAAATCTATATATATTGTAAGAGCAAAAATATTAGTCAAGTTCTCATTCCATCCTCTAAAGCAAGTAACAAATATGGGCACCTAATTGATCCCTAACGACTTTTTTAAAGAAAGTTTGAACTTAAATAGTTTGATTTACTAAAATCTCTCTCCCCCCCCCCTGCTTCAGACCCTGGCAGGCAGGGGGGAAGAGGAAGCAACTCTTCCCACTGCCATTCCCTTTTCCCCCACAAGGTGGGGGAATGGTAGCACAGCAAAGTGCTGGTGTGGAAACTTTTCCCTGCTCCTCCTCCCCCCCAGTGGCCTGGGAGAAGTGAGTGGTGCAAAGCCATGTGTGCCCCAAGGAACAAGGCAACAGGTAAGCACCACATCCCATCCCCCTCAGACACTCTTCCCCACTGTGTCCTTGCACCCTCCCTTCCAGACCTTGCACTCACTCCCTATATCCTTTATAATGGCGAACACCCAAGGTCTGGAAAATATGAATCCATAATTCCATAAAAGAGATTCAAGTGTATTTTATATTAAATGATACACCACTCAGTTACTATTACTACATGCTATATTAACTAAAAACCATACTAATGCTACTACTACTGAAACATAATTGGAGATTTATGCTTAGAAAGTGCTTTGAATTAAAAGAGCTATATTAGTATCATAACTACATAACATCTGGATAAAAAATTTCTTATATTTCCACAAAGCAACAGTTTATAGAAAGTTATATTTAATCACAGAAAGATCACAGAATTTGAATAGATTTCATTTGATTTTTACATCAACAATATACGACAGCCCCTCAAATGCCACCCGACTACTACAAAAGTGTCTTACCAGTAAAGAAGTACCTAATTAGAGAAATTACTTAGATCAAATTATGAACAATAAAATTCACCTAAAAAACCAGATACAGGTAAAATCTGGTTCATTATACTCTAGTTATCTAAAATTCTAGTTAAGCCACAGGTCAGCTACATTCCTCCATAATGTCACCTCTGCAAAGCCTAGCAACCTCCATTTATCTGAACTTTACACAATTTGTGGAGGCTTCTGGATAATTGGAGGGTTTTTTGGGGGGGAGGGAAGGGGGCAAAAGGCCAAAAGACAGAAAGACAACAATACATTAAAAGAAACATTAAATACTTTATTTAGGCAACAGGCCTGGACAGAAATTATCACTCTGATATGTTTTTTAAGCCAGCTCCCCACAAGGACAAGCTCCTACCTGCCCTTCCCCACCACGCTGCTGCCTCTGATAAAAAGGGACTTCTAACAGTTTCTCAGACATGGAAAAGAGTAAATCAACATTTGGCATTATTAAGCAAACATCCACATTTTATTAACTGATCTCTTTCTAATCAGGTAGGGAGAGAGTCCAACAATATACTCTGGAATTAATGCATAATCCTTCAAGTATGTTGCACAAGTTTTAAACTTGTAAGGAAAGAAAAGTTGTAGGATATACATAATTTGACAGTATCTCTTCACATCAAAAAGGAAAATTTTATATACTATTAAAGAAAAACAAAGTAGTTACTACACCTGAATCTGTATGGAAGGTGCTTCTAAGGCTCTATAAACCATTGGAAGAACACTATTCTTTATTTCATCTGATGGAGTTTTGGTTAGGAGTAAGTCCATTTTTTGTAAGAAAATCAACAAAATCTATAAAACAAAACAAAATGTTAAGAATGCCACAGGTTTTAATTCTGTAACATTTTGAACATAATGCTTCCATTTTGAAGTTTATTATCGCAATAAAAATTTTGAACACTAACAAAGTTTTCTTATAACAGAATCAATGGTATTTACACTCACCATGTTGCTAGCCTGAAGGCATGGAAGATAAAAAAAAGACACTTGGACATTTAATGCATTTTTGAAACAGCAAATAAAAGATAACACAAGTATGTTTTATACTGAACTTATAAAAAAGGTAAGGCTTGTGGACTTTGTTGAGCTACATGATAAATTACAAGTCTGATTTTTGCTATTCTAGATGCACCATATCAGTACAATTATACATTTAATGGTCTAATGCCCTTTTAGAGGGGGAATGGTCTGTCATGCTAAAATTGCATTCCAAACCAATCAAGGACAGATGTGCTACAGAGGCAATGGGCTAAGTGGACGAAATGCTTTGCTTCACTCAAGACTGATCTTGCTGTACAGCTACTGAGCAGAACTGAGGTTTGGAAGTTTGTGCTGGATTGGAACATGGAAATAAAGAGAAGATTGATTAGGATCTTGATAAGGAAAACCTTGACGGGAAAAAATGAGATGTACTTTTAAAACAGCATTTATCTACCTGGATTGGTTCTTGTTGTTTAAAAACAGGGCCAAGATCAGGCAGGATTAGCTTGATGTATTCTTCTTTGGTGCACTCCTCAGCAATCAGCAGAACATTAGGCAAAACAAAGGGTACCATATCAGGGTTCACAAACTCTGAGGTCAAGCAAGGCAAAATTCGCTGCACTACAACACGCTGAGAAAGGAAAAAAAATGGTGTTGTTTGCACTGCCATAAAATATCATTTTCTAAATTTATTTCAGCAATGACTTTTTTCATAAAAAATCAGGTTTATACAATAGTAGAAAAATGAAACAATTAGTTCTGAACCTTACTTTAAGAGTCAACTTGAGTTTTGTATAAATCTACTACTATGCTTTCTTTTCAGTATGTATTTAAGACCCTGTCTGTCCAAAGGGACCCTCAAACATCTCATTTTAATGCTACTTAAAAGCTATTATTATAACTTAATGAGGCTCTATAAAAGATTTAAAATCATACATACAAATTAAGGTAGCAACATATGATACAGTCTTTTTACAGCCTAGATGAAGAATTAGCATAAAAATCAGCTTTTGCAGGACTCCAGGGTTCACTATCTTTGAAATCTGAAATCCAAATACAAAAGAAAAGTACTTTTCTGCTCATAGCCAACCTCCACCTTCAACCTTTGGTTCTACTTCTGTTTGCAAGAAATCTGAAGACACATCTATCTTACATAAGCATATAATACGTGGTCCTAATATCAATGATTCTAGAAGCCTATTCATTGAGATGTATTTAACATTGATATACTACCACCAATGGAATTGGAGGGAAAAAAACATTAAGACTGAACAGTTTCCCTGTGTCTTCCTACCTTTTCTTTTAGAACTCTTGGAAATTTTGTCCAACTCCAAAACCTCACAAAAATAATTAATCAATGGAAAAAATGCTAAGTCTAAAAGACAATGCTCTACGCTAGATCTTCCTGTAATAAGATTTTATACAAAATAGTTCAAAAAGAAAATGTAATTAAAGATTAAGAAATGTAATCACATGGGGTCACAAATGTCATTATTTCTATTATGTGGTAAACAAGTATTTCTTTCTTTTTAGTTTTTGTAATCCCAAAGAAAATAAGAGATCAATAAAAAAGGGAAGGGGCAGGCGGCCAGAGTTGTTATATCATTTGTACTACCATACAGGAGAACAAATTTGGACTGATAACCTGGAAAACTAGAGATTTTCTATGAGCAGTAAAAGCACAATGCGACAAAATTCCCATGGGGGAAGAAAGCTTTCTACATCACTCAACAATAGAGAAGCAATGACTGGCTTTATATAAAGAGAACAGTCAGTCATATTGTGCTGCAAGGATGGGGATAGTTCATAGAGCCTTGAAAGATTGGGATTGTAAAACAATGGGAAAAGGGAGCATGTGGGGGAAGAGATCTTCTGCTCCAAGTGGAAGGAATCCAGAGGAGGAAAGAGCAAATTTGGCTACCATAGGAGTTCAAGACTGCCATTTTTTCATATCTCCAGAAGTATCAGTAGCTGCAGGGTATTCCCATATAAAACAAATTTATCATACTCTTTTTCCATTCTATGTTCTACCAATCCAACTGCAACCCATTATAGAACAAAGGTGCACTCCAATCTCTTCATTTAAGAATATTAAAAGCTAAAGGAAAACCAACCTTAGGTAGTTTTGGCAGAACCTTTGGTAGCCCTTTAAAAAACTGTGATTTCTGAAGATTATCCCTTTGGAATAAAGAATCAAAATATTGAAGTGTCACTGCTCCAACATCATCAAAGAATGGTATCTAAAAATAAAAGGATAAAAAAGTGTAATCTTTGAAGGAAACCACCATACAGTATATGCTATCCATATATAATTAAATTTTATCTTCTCAAATGCATTATATCAACAAACTTTTATAGTTATGTAGCAATATATGACAAATAAAATACCCGTTTACACATTTAGTAGTATCACAAGGGACAAGTAACTTCACCATTAGATAAATTAACTGCATTAGACTATCTTTTTAGAAGAAACAAATAGTATTTGTATGGCTGATATGACCTCTCTAACTTGATTTTATATGGAAGGGAATTATTGTCTGCAATACAAAAGCTCTAAGAATTAATACAAGTTTTATTAAAAGAACTACACTAATTACTGGGCTACCTTAGACTACCCAGTCTTTGGTACCCTCCCTGGGAATTTACAGCCCTGCCTCAAAACACAAAGCAAAAGTGATAGTCATTATAAAACAAAAGGAAAAGTAGTAACTTTGAGGGCAACTAACAAATAGAAAACATTTTACAATTTCAATAGAAAAGAGAAACAGCTAAAGAAAGTGCATATGTTGTTTGCTTCTACAAATCAAATATTATTAGCCTGGTTTCTTGCTATTTCCAGTATGTTCTAGGCACTCACCTTTGTCATTTGATCTGCATCTGGTCTGACTGCAGGAGCCACATTTAATAGTAGTTTTACATGTTCACGTACTTCCTCTGGTATATTCTGAAGTGTATTGGAGCCTAAGCGACTCAGCTGCACAAATAATTCAAGCACATGAACCACGAATACTGAACATTCTGTACATTTGTTATTTTAAGACAACTGATTTGATGGACTTTTTGTTCTACTTTAATTAGACAAATTTTATAAATGCAAGCACAAACTTCAGATGTGGCCATTGTTATTTTTTTCTTCTTACAGTGACACTGCATGCTGGCACTGGTTTAAAACCTGAGTTTACTAAGGCCTTGTCTACACATACTGTGCTGTAGCAGCACAGCTGTACTGATACAGCTGTGCCACTGCAGCATGTGTTGTGCAGACGCCCTATGACAATTAGAGAGAGGTCTCCTATCAGCATAATGAAACCACCACTGCGAGCAAAAAAAGCTACTTAGTTGGGAGTTCTCCCACTGATACAGTGCTAGGCACACTGTATCATAGAACTCATATGTAACATTACATATGTAATTATAGAACTCATATGTAACTTATGTTGTTCATGGGGGTAGAATATTCACACCCCTGAACAGCCTAAGTGGTAGTATAGACATTGATTAATTCTGTGGAGATGCTGAACTCAACTACATGACTCCCTGGCTCTTTAATAGTGCATTGTGATTAGAGATGTTAAATATCAGTTAACTGAATAGTCAATTAACCTCGTGAATTCTTATCAGTTACTCGACTATTATATAGACCTATAGTCACCCTATAGTGACTATTCTATAGGGTGTGGGGCTGGTAGCCAGTGTGCTTCAGCCCCAATTCCAAGAAGCCACCTCACCCCCGCCACTCTGCACTGCTGCCCCTGTATCGGGCGTGGGTTGCCAGGTGGGAGCTGGTCCGCAAGGAGAGCCGGTCCACAAGGGGAGCCAGTTTAAAACCCAGCTCTCCTCACAGACCAGCTGCCTGTCACCCCGTGCTGCTGCCTCTAATACAGAAGCAGCAATGCAGGGTGGCAGCAACCCCTGTGCAGGGGGGCTGAGATCCAGACCCAGCATGAGCTGGAACTGAGCCAGGTTGCCTGCCCACCTGGCTCCTAATATATTTTAAATTCACCGCCTCAGCAGGGTTAGGTCCTAGACCCAGTGCAAGCTGGGACTAAGACATACTGCTGGCCAGCCTGACAAAAAATTTACTGGTGGGAGGAGGAGGAGGGGAGAAGGGAGTGTAGTCTATAGCATTAACTTACAAGCTTTATTTATCAGTTAATTGACTACACTATTACTATTTGGGTCCTGCTGTGAGGGCAGGGGACTGGACTCGATGACCACTAGAGGTCCCTTCCATTTCTAGTGTTCTATGATTCTATCCCTAACTGTGATCTGCATGTCACAGCAGAGCATTACATGTGACTAAGGAAGGAATCACCCACAAGTTTTATAACCTTTTATTTAAACTCAGCAATTCCCACCTGGCTAACACCAGTTCCTCACTGTCCTGGGGTCGATATCCTGGTCGTTCTACTAACAGTCAGAGTAGCACAACAAATCTCTATCCCATTTGAGCAGCATATGGAGCCATAAGGAGCCCCAGGTAGAATGTCAGCACTAGTAGTTTTTTCAGGCAATTTCAGTTATACATTTACTTGTAAGAATTTTGTAAAGACTCATTTCAAAGAGGTAGCATGCATGATGCAACTTGTTATTGTAACTACTACATACTCGAACATAAGCCCATTTGTTCATAAGCCAAACTCCCAAAATTACAGGAAAAAAAAAAGTTAGAAAGTCAATGACCCATTTATAAGCCAACTCCAGGGTACAGACTTCCAGACCAGCTTGTCAGTGTCAGTGAGGACTGAGGGATGGGCTGGCTGCAGGCACCGAGTTCCTGTCGGCTGCTGTTCACTATTTCCAGTCAATGGAAATAGAGAGGCTCCGTGCCTGTAGCCAGAACATCCTTCATCCCACACTGCTTCCCACGACTCCCATGGACTAACGGGCCCCTGCTCACTGGTCTGCCACCTTGGCTGCCCTGCCTATCTGCCACTGTGATCCCTGTGGTGGCTGCAGGCACGGAGCCTCTCAGCTCCCGGCTAATGGGAGCTGAGAAGCTCTGTGAGGGCAGCCAGCACATTTTTCAAACCACGTTGCTTCCTGCGATTCCAAAAGCAGCACCGGCTGAAGGATGTGCTGGTTGCCCACACAGAGCGTCTCAGCTCCCATTGGGTTTCAGCTGAGAGGCTCCAGGCCTGAAGCCAGGACTAGAATCACAGTGGCAGGCAGGCAGGGCAGACTGTATGGATGAGCTACAGGCAGCCCAGGTAGCAGACCAGTGGGCACGGGCCCATTAGCCAATGGAAGACTTGGGAAGTTTGCCAACCCTTCACCCCAATGGAAAATATATGAAGAACCCGTTCATAAGCCGACCCCTGCTTTTCACAGCAAGATATTTTCCAAAAAAGTCGGCTTATGAACAAGTATATATGGTAAATTTATATTGCAGCTCTCAATGTTGTGTTCTTCACTGAGATATCCATTTAATTTTCTTATTTTTAAGTAATAATTACTTTTACACAGAGACATTTAAAAAGCGATAATCAAATTCAGAACACATTGCTAAGTATATCAGATACCTGATCCAGCTGTCTACTGAAACTTTTATAAATATCTTGCTTGTTGACCTCAAAAATAGGCTTCCCTTTATTAAATACTGCATACATGACAGCTCCTAGAGAGTACATGTCACTGGCAGTCTCACAGCTCACTGAAAGGATGTATTCTGGTGCCAAATACTCAGGATTGGGAAGACACAAAGATGGTAAGTTTGGGTCCCATTCTTTACATAGAAACTTCAGCTGCAAAAAAATAGTGGAAGAAAACATAGTGGTTGAAGATTTGAAATTTAAATTACTCAAGCAGCCAATAGTCAAATTCCTTCCAATTCACAAGTAAAACAACAGACACAGTGAAGCAAAACTAAGTGGTAATATAAGCTAAATGGGTATGCTCTGACTGTTGCAGATATCACACCAAGGTGATTTAGAATTATGAGAATTTCAAAGTAGGCACAATTAATCTCTGCAATATGTACAACTTCATTTTACTTTAGGAAATTTAATGCATTTCTGGATAAGGGTCGTTAGTAATCCCAGAAGCGCTGCACTGTGTGGCACAAGGGTAGCACTATCTATTGGGATGTCACTCGTTTACCTGGGTGCCTTGCTGCCTCAAAAAAGTAGAGCTACGGGACAAGATAGCTTCCTAGAGTACTGCCCTATCACTAGATATATATACACGCTGTACTTGGCACAGAAACTCACATCCCATTACCAAATACCTGAATTATTTAGTCCCCTGTTAATCCACTCTTACATTTGTTTTGAGCAACAACTATTAATTGTGTAGTAGTTCTGCAACAAATGAGCAGATGGCTCAAGGATAAAACCAGACTTGTTTTCAAAGTACAAGGAATTTTTCACTGGCCACTATACTACAGGTTGAAACTCTCTAAACCAGGACTCTCCTGTCCAGCAACATCTGTGGTCTGGCACGGACATGGATGTTGCAGGACCACGGATGTAGCAGCAGGGGGCCCTGTTGGGCCAGCAGGGCAGTGGGCTGCTCTGTGCACTGCAGTAGGCTGGCAGATCCCAGAGCCACAACAGCAAGTGAGCAGTTGGCCAGGAGGCCAGCAGGCTAAGCCAGGGCTGGGGTGGGGGGTCAGTTGTAGTCCCCCTGATCTGGCAAAAATCTCTCATCTGGAACCAGTCTGGTCCTGAGGGTGCCAGACCAGGGAAGTCGAACCTGTAGGAGTAAAACCCAGAGCTTCCTAGCACCATAATCCCTATTCTATGGAGTCAGCTCAAATTAATTTTCAGTTGTGACCCAAGACCGAATTTAAACTCAGACCTCCAGAAATAAAGGGTTGATGAACTATTATACCATATAGCTTTCCCTCTATTTTAATAAAGGGGAAGAGAACTTAATAGGCGATACAGAACTAGAATATGTAGATTATGGAGCATGCTTTCAGACACTATCACATTTAAAGTAAAAAGCAGACACAAAGCCTTATTACCTCTTGCTCAGATGGATTTGTTGACTGAATACAAAAATCAAATCCCATAATTTTCCATGCTCCACTTTTATTCAAAATTATATTTTCAGGAGTAATGTTTCCATGGACCATTTTCACACTGCTGTGCAGAAAGGACAAACCTTCAGAAACCTGTTAACAATGAAAGATTATTTCATGTTTTAGATGGTATTCTTTCAAAACACTTGCAAAATATTTACATCAATTATGGTATGTCATTTTTCACAGCAAAATCTGGCCTCCTATGCTCAACTAGCATGTGTTTGCCTTGACTTTTTCTTAGCTATCTCCCACAAGGGAAGAAAAAATTGCATACTAAAAACTTTGAGAAATGAAACACACATCAAGCAAACCAAATTCAGGTAGAGAGTGTGCTCATGAGGTTACTGTCACAGGGCTCAAAAACCCCACTTGCCCAGAACGAACAGAATGTTCACCAGATGAGTTGGCTGAATGGTACTGGGGAGCCATGGGATCCTTCTTTAAAAGAGAAGGAATAGAAAAGATGCAAAGCAGCCCATGTGCTGGTGCTCCTTTAGCAGACGGGAAGGCAGGAACAAAACTGTCTACGCATAACTAGTTTTAAGGAGAAGAGGAGAAAAAAAAATCAGCTGCCTTTGTTCTTTTCTCAGAACGGAGAGGAGCTGCGTGTGAAGGCGAAGTAAAAGAGCAGCATGGCTGAAGGCTGCTTTTTTAAAATAAAAAAACAAAAACAGAATGGAAGGATGAAGCAAAAACTAACGACTTCTTGCCACTGCTCATATACAAGAGGAAAGGGAGATAGCAATATCCACAACCATTTCCACACAAACAAGGCACAGATATAAAGTGGATATCCATGGGCTTGCAGGACTCTAGTAATAGAGTTCTCATAAACAGAAGGCCTCCTAAGCATCTATGAAGGTAGTATTCAGAGCAGTAACAGCTTAGGGGATAATCTACTCAAAGACAGAACACTGACTGAATTTTGTGGATCGGAGTGGTATGACTAGGAGAAAGAAAGAAAAAGGCAAACTGAAGTTTGCCACAAGTTTTAAATTTATGTTCAAAAGCTAAGAGGCCACAAAGCTAAAGCTCTAAAAAACAGCAACTGGCATCACTGTTCAACGGGGGGTGGGGAGGGAGTGAAAAGGAAAATGGAAAAATGAACAATTCAAAATAGTCTTGTGAGACTGGGCAGAAATAGTAGCAACCCAGAGCATTCTATCAAGCATTCACCCTTTTCTCCTGTTTATGAAGCATCTTCAAAGCACTGCATTCTCTCTCCTCAATTATTTTATGTACTATGTGCTCTTTTAAAACTAATATCTGCCATACCACAAAATAGTCATGAATGCGGTTTGCATTGTGGTTTCTTTGGTCCACCTTTTACCTCTCTCAAATATTACAGCAAAGTTGGTTTATATAATTAATTTTCCATGATCGCCATCATTGGTCTTCAGATTGTCAAAAGTTATGGACCACAGATGATTTCAAAAGGGTAACTCCAAGCTAAAGCTTTGTAGGATAGTATTTAACCTAAAATCTACTATTATAAAAATATACAATCCCAAGAAAACTGTATGTAATGAAACTGACAAGAAACCCTTGAATATCTCAATGATAAGCAGCACCGCTATAACACATTATGTCTGAAACTAACATAGGGTTCTGTGCCCTCACCTCACATTTCTCTTCCAGGAAATGGATTTTTCTATATATCTATCTAAATATAAAATGTATTAACATACCTGAAGCAAGCCGTATTTGGTTTCCACATCATAAAGTTTGTATTCCTTAATGTCAGAAGGTAAAGGAGAGGGTAGATTGTCCCAGTTGCCAAGAACATTAGCTAAACTTGCAAAGACTGGTTCTGTACAAAATGCCAGGCAATCTCTAAAAAGAGAAAAATACATTTAATAAGCTCTTGATTATGATTTACAGAAAATAATTTTAACAATGTATCAACAAATTAATCAATATTACTTAGCTTCAGAGGGGTAGCCAAGTTAGTCTGTAACTGGAAGAACTTAAACAATGAATAGTCTAGCACCTTAGAGACTAACAAAGCAAGTAGATGGTATCATGAGCTTTCATGGGCACAACTCACTTCTTCAGTGGAATGGAGTTATTAAAGGTCTAGTTCCAAAATAAATAGGGGGCGAGAGAGGGAAAAGGGGGGAAATAGTCAACTAGAGTGTTCCTGTTACATGAAGTTGATAGAGAAGGTGCAAATTGTTCTTAAGTACCCATTGTTTGCTTTTTTTTAAAAGTCATTAAGATGTGGAACATAGTGTGCTAGCCTGGTAATGTCTTTATTCATACCTTTGTGATGGGTCCCAAACCTGTAAATGAAGTTAAATTCCAAGGCTTCCCTGTGTATTTGGGTTGTGGAACTGGCCTGAAACAACATGGTGACCTTAAAGTGTTCTCCAAAAGGTTTCTGTGTGTTGCCTTTTCAGATACCTGATTTGTATCCATTAATTCTTTCCCATAGAGACTGTCCAGTTTGGCCACTATAGATAGCACGGGGGCATTGCTGGTATTTGATGGCATAAGTCACATTGATGGATGTGCAATTAAATGAGCCGCTGATGTGGTTGGGTCCAGTGATGAAATCGCTTGTGTAGATGTGTGGACAGCGTTGGCACGGAGTTGATTGCTGGGGTGGGTTCCTGGATGAATGATGAAGTTGTGCCATGTAATTACTGGAAAGAATTTGTTTGAGATTAGGGGGCTGTCTGTAGGCGAGAACTGGCCTGTCCCCCAAGGCCTGTGAGAGTGAAGGGTCATTTTCCAGGATTGGTTGTAGATTGTTGATAATGCATTGGAGGGGTTTAAGTTGTGGTCTGTAGGTGATGCAAGTGGAATTCTGTTTTCTCTTCTTGGCCTGTCTTGAAGTAGTTCATGTCTGGGTACTCTTCCGGCTCTGTCAATCTGAGATCTGTACCACGTGTTCCACTGTTCCATCCCTCCTCTCCCCAGACCAGAATCTCTCAACCCCTCTCTCCGCACACTCACCCCAAATTATCCACTCCTCCCTTTGCCACAAATCCAAGACTCTTTTCCTATTCCTTCTCTGTTCCTCTGCTCCCTAATTTTCCAACCCAACAAACATTTGCATATATAATTTATTTTCTTTTCAAAAATAGTCTGAGAACCTTCTACATTTTCTGTTATGCTCAGAGGACATTTCCCTAAAATAAAAAATAGCTCCAGTATGCCTCTCTCAAAGAGATATCTGGACATGAAATATAGTCATGTATCTACTAAGGATGGGTTCCAAATTAAAATGACTAGATGTGCTCATATTCAATAGCCATAGCATGTCCCATTCAATGATCCAGATAATATGAAAATTGGCAGACTAGCAACCCACATGGGTACAGCTCACACACACACACACACACACACACACACACACACACACACACACACACACACACACACACACACACACACAGTTTTGTGCATGAGTGTTAAGCTAAAACCATCTGTAAAGATTAGCGTTGGGGAAGCAGTACTGAAAATGTTATTCAACAAACGGGTAGTGGATGCCAAGCATCAGTTGAAGTAAACGTCAAGCAACTGAGACCTGCTGGAGCAGTCAGAATCATGGTTTGACCCAACAGGTACGTGCAAAACATTTTTGGTGAAACAACCCCAAATGTTTATGACTAGTCCACCCCACCATGAGGTACATGAACTTTCAAGAGAATCTGAGCAACCATGCAGGTACAAGAGCTCTTACAAGAATTGATCTCAAAACAAAGTTCTCTCAGTCTTAACTAGTCAGGGAGCTGATACACATCAATAATTTTAACTTTTTAAATTATGGGTGAGCTCTGCTGCTACAAGTTTAGGCAAAGAAGGGGAAAGACCAAAGGATCTAAGAAAAACAGTATTATTCATGAATTTTTACCAAGTAGTAGCCCAAACAAAAGAAACCAAAGCCAAAAAAACTTTTTGTATTTGCAGTTACAGTGATTTCAGCACTCTTTCAAGTAACAATGTAACTTGACAAATGAATATTTTAGCAGTTGAAGTCAGCCACATAATGTATCTTCAACAGCTCTGTGAGTAATGTCAGAAAAAGCAACATTTTGGGCAACACTGTAAGTAGGACATGGTAATATATGACCTACTTTTATTATTTACTCTAATTGCAAGTCCCTATCTTTTAAAAACAATAAGTAATCCTGTGGCACCTTAGAAACAAATATATATATCTATTATGTGTTAGTCTTTTAAGATGCCATAGGACTACTCATTTTTAAAGCTACAGACTAACACTGCTACCCCTGCATATCATATTATTATTTCTGCACATTTTTTTAAATGCCCCAAACTTTCATGTCCAGCAAAAAATTCAAACTTACAATTTTACTAAAATTTACCTGGATTCTTCTAAGGGATGTTGGACAGTAACTAGCCGAGGGTGTCGAAGCCTTGTTAGCTGTTGAACTCCTCGCTTTAATGAATCAATAATCTGATCCTTTTCAAATTTCTGATATTTGTCTATTAACTTTTTATCGAAGACGAAAACTGCAACTTCCTAAAAATTAGCAACAAAATTTAATTGGTATTACCAAAGCCACACAGTAAAATTACTACGACAGGATTTACTAAAGCAGAAAGCAGTTCATTATACATCCATAGCCCAAAGCTATACTAGTTTACTTCAGTTACAATCAACATGATTTTTTTCTCTCATAAGAATATATGTTTTCCTGAGCCAATAAAATAGTGCTACATACTTTATAAACAATAATGAATTGACTGTTAACCACAAGCTTGTGTTAGTGGTATCAGCACTCTTGTGCAATAACTAAGTAGTTCATCTGAAGACAGCAGCTGGCCTGATTTTAAATAAATGGAAGCTTTGGATACTTAGTTTACGTATTGGTAATTTAGTTTGAAAATAGGCTTATTTTATTTGTTAGAATGATACTTTTCTAACTAAATCTTTTAATAATGTCCTCTCAATCTGAACGCTATCCTTTACTAGAAAGCAATCCTCAGTCTCAACGAATGTCTCAAGATTTAACAAATTTAAAGTAATTTCCACATGATTTGTCCCTTTAATTTTTATATAGCAGAAGCCTTCTATGGTACATTAAATCACTACTACAGGTTGGACCTCCTTGGTCTGGCACTGTCAGGAAATGGTCCTGAACTAGGAAATATGCTGGACCAGTGAGGTATCCAGCCACTTCCCCTCCCCACTCCCGGCTCCACTCTGGCCCGAGACCCTCCCTTACTGCCTGTGTGACTGGGCTGTCGCTGGCACCAATCCCAAGGCCTGGCACATATGGGCTTCCCAAACTGCAGCGGAGTAAAGAATGGCACACACTTTCCAATTCTAGCACCAGACGACCTAGCCTTTGTGTATATTAACTGCATGGGGTATTTCTCTAGGGTTCTGCAGGATGACCATGGAGGTTTCACAGATATTAATGCAGACTGGTCCAGAAAGGTACAAAGCACAAGCATCTTTCGGAACGCTGGCCTTTTCAGAAAGCTGCAACCAGAGACTTTCTTCCCAGACCAAATCACCATGGGGAGGTAAGGGGAGAGGAAATCCTTACTGTGATTCTTGAAGACCCTGCCTACCCTTTATGCTGTGGCTCATAAAGCCATACATGAGGACAGCAGCAAGGAGTGATTCAACAACAGGCTGAGCAGATGCAAAATGACTGTGGAATGTGCTTTTGGCTGTTACAAACATTGTCATTGAGCTTTGGAAGGGAAGCTGGACTTTGTCAATAATATCCCTATTGTTATTGCCGAATGGGGTCTGTGGGTGGGATCCTTTGAACATGGCTTCTACTGGGAACATGCTACACCATGGCAAGGCATCTCCCAAATGGGGTGAGCACTGAAAGACGCAAGCGAATGGGCTGGCTGGAACAGACAGGTATGGGGTGTTGGTGTTTCTAGCCCCCAAGGAGAAGGTGCTGGGAGCACCAAGGCACTGGGGGAAGTGCTGGCTACTTAAGTCTTGTGGGCAGAGCCTGAGAGGTGCTGACTGGCTCACACTGGCCCCGTTTGGGTCTGACACCACAGTTTAAGGCTTAATTTTTGTATTCAAGCCTGTCAGTGTGAAAGAAACTATTTGCATATATTTGCAGCCAAACTTAAGTTGCGGCCCTCAGCATGTGCTGTATCATTGTGGGCCCAGGGGCTTCCGAAGTTGAGTAGCCCTGACTGAGAGCAACAAGGGAAATCCCAGGTGCAGTGGGGCAGGGGAAAAGGCTAGGAAAACCCTTGCTGTACTGACACAGGCAGGGAAACCCTTTGTTGCAGAATCCTTTTATGAAGATGGGCAGGGTGCCAGGCAGGGGTTACCATTCATGTACGGCTGTATTGTGATCTGGGTAGGTGAAAACTAGGGAGAGCACTGAAAGAGGGAGCGAACATTTAGCTGCTTAGGGTGAGCAGGGAAGCAAATGAGGGTCCTTCACGCGACTGCAGGTTCACTCTGGGATCATATATGTGGCTTGTCTTTGGGCAGCAATGGTCGTCTTCTCCTCCACTCCCCCCAAATGACGGCACAATGGTGAGGGAATGTCAGCCTTCAGAGATCAAACACGATGTTTGCTTTGCCAGCTAAGCGGAGGAGAAGGGTAGCATAGCAGCTGCATGAATCACCGATGAGTTCTGTGAGGTATATTACCAACACGTAAGAAAATGCATCTATGGTCTGTTTGCCATCTGACTGGTAGCAGCCTCACACAGAAACCTCTTTGCGGGTAACAAAACAGTTGACTGCAAGCCCCTATAGATGCCGAGTCCCCTGGCACTGGGTCTCCCTTCCCTTTGGCACATTCGGCCACAACTTCCTTCTCTTCTCCCAGCCCAGTGCTGGATGCCCCCTTAGCCTCTGAGGTATCCACGGGACTCTTCAGAGTGGAGGTGTGGTCACCTCCAAGTATATCATCCAGTGCTTTGTAGTACCTGCAAGTCATGGGCGCAGCACCAGAGTGGCTGTTTACTTCCTGCCCCTTCTGGTAGGCATTTCACAGCTCTTTCACTTTGACCTTACACTGCAGTATGTCCAAGTCATGGCCAGTGAGAATGCAGTACTACACCAATGTGTCCACACTGGTACCCCAGCGCATTATCCAGAGCAAAGCAAGCTCTACGCTTCCTGTGGAGGTGGGTTACCTAGAACATACTAATTGCAGAACTGGTGCACAAGTGCTTTACCAGTGTGGTACTGTGAAAGTTACAGCACCGGGGGCTGATTTACTGAGCAGTAATTTACCAATGTAGACTTGGCCTAAGATATCTATCTAATCTAGAATGCAAACCACGAGAGAGACAGTAATCAGTTCAGATGCTTGGGAAATGGATGTTTAAAGAAAGGAGAAAAAATAAACTAATGAAACGGATGATAATCCGGGAAGATGACTAATTTTTCCCAGACAGCCTCCAGAGAAAGAATCATTAAAGAATTAACTGTCAAACAAAACTGGCAATCTGGTTTCTTTTTATTCTTATAACAATATTAAGAAAAATAATAAAACAACCTACAGGCTAGAAAGTGGTGCAGCAAAAACAAAAACATACATATTTTCAGTTCCCACAGGAGAGCTACAATATAGTTGCCACATATTTTATAAGGGCCATTTCAAGTTCAATCTCCTATGGTAGTTGCATGACGACTTAATTTTTAAGAGACAAGCAATAAATGGGGGAGGGGGGGGAGAACCAAGTTCAACACATTAAAATATTTTCTGAGATTTTTTTCTTAGAACAGTAGATCTGCTTTATAAAAATTCAGCTTCTATGCCAGATACTCTTCTTCTGCAACGTTTCACTGAAATTTGTCAAGTAGTTGTTTTTAAAACTGTTAAAAATGTTTGCAAAGGACTTCACTTTAACAAATTGTAAATACAGGTTATAACTCCCTGGGCCAGCGTCCTCGGGACCCCAGCCGTCCCGGACCAGGGAATTTGTCAGTTGTGGGAAGTTCAAAGCTTCCCCCTTGACAGCTTGTAAGGCTGGAGTCCCTGCCCTGCTATTGCCGTGGCCTAGGCTCCTACCCTGCTGCCCGCTGGCTGTGCCTGGGGTTACCAGGGGTTCCCCAACTAGGGCCACCCGGCCACCACCAGCCCCACTACCTCCAGTTGTTCCTCGGGGTTTCCCAGCCTGGGCCACCTTACTGCTACCGCTGTGCTGCTGTGGCCTGGCCCCGCTGCCACTGAGGGTTTCCCAGGGTTCCCCAACCATCGCCAGCCCCATTAACAGGGGATCTCTGGCCACCTGACCCACTGACACCAGGGTTCCCTGGTCAGGGTGGAAGCTCCCCAATGTCATCTAGCCTCACTGTTGCTGGGGTTCCCCTGCTGGGGACAGGATTCCCTGGCTGCCGCCTGGCTCCGCTGCTGAGGTTCTCCAGCTGGAGCTCCCGAGCTGCTGCCTGACCCTGCTGCTGCCGGGGGGTTCCCAGTCAGTGCTGCCTGGCCATCAGGGGTTTCCTGAGGTTCCCTAGTTGTCACCAGTTTCATGCCAGGGGCTCTCCTGACCCCACTGACAGTGGGGTTTCCCTGCAGGGGGAGGCTCCCTGCTGCCGCCGAGGTTCCCCTGCCTAGCCTCTGATGGGCCAGGTGGAACTCTGCAAACCCCGGATTCTCTCGGCTGGCTCTCACGGATTTTGCTGGAACAGAGTCTCCCAGATTTGGGAGGTTCAGCCTGTACTAGCATTAATTAGGGGTGTTAAGTATCGGGTAACAGGATAACCGAGTAACCTCTATGGCTCCCGGGGTGGTGGCTTCCTCTCCGGGAGTAGAGAGAGAAGCCCTTGCTTCCTACCCATTGATCAGCCCTTTCCCATTTGGATACTTCTGACCTTATTCACACTGTCTTTGTTCTTCATCTGTAAATGATGATAATTATACAGTAGCCTCATCTCAGAGGGGAGCTGTGAAAATGAAGTCTACAACAAGGAAACTGATAATTCTGTCTTCAGAGAAAGGTTTGAATATCAGGCAGTAAATAAGGGTAGGGCCACACATTGGACAATGAGAAAAAATATTTATTGACTAGACTTCAGTTGTACAGGCAACCTTTAAAGTTAGGAAATGCCAGAATTAAGTGCTTGACTTCGCAACTTTACTAATATTCTTTTATTCAGTGTACAGGTTGAATTTCTCTGGTCCTGCAACATCTGGACCAGTCATGATTTTTGTTAGCTAGATGTCTACTTATCATGCATGTGGCCAAGTTTCTCATGGTCCCATAAAGTTTGTTTACAGCCACTAGTCCTCGCTTAAGTGTTCTGTGCTGTTATTTAGCTCTAATTTATCCCTAAATGTCTTCTAAGAGCCCAGTAAGTAGTGGAAGTGATGGTAATGCTGCTAGACAATAATGACCTCCTTTGATCTGGCGATTCTCTGGTTCTGCACCTGGTTTGGTTAGGTCCCCAGGGTATCAAACTAGAGAGGTTCAACCTGTACTTATTTGGGGAGGGAGTATGATACATATAATCTGGAAAATCATTCTATTCTGTAACTGAATACATACCCAGCATTTGACTACACGATGTACTTCTATGATTTTCTGGAAGCTTAACTAGAGAATTCTTTTTAAGACATATGTTATTTTAATAGGCATCTCTTCTATTTCCAGAAGAGACTCCCCAGCCTCCTATTTTTTCATAGGTTTTTTTTTTTTTTTTTTTTAAAGTTGGAGTCTTTTTTTAAAAAAGAAAAAATCACATTTCTTACCAGGCTGTTTTAGTAGTAGCCTCATTCAATTGTGGTTATTTTGAAACTAATCTACTTTCCTGACTTAACTAGTAAATAAATATATATTGATCCTAATAAGATTGTGTGAGTTAACTGATTTTCTGAATAAGAAACAGAAAACCATGGGTAGCAAGAATTCTAAGGCACAGATGATCATCTGCTTATGCATTCTGCTAATCTTTGAGATGGAGAAGATGGTTCGATTAGAAAGCTCTCTCAAGTGCCCCCATCCCTAACTGTGTCTTTGCAGCTACATTTAAGAAGAGGGAAGGACTAATGCCTCTTTAGGCCAGGAAATGAATAAATAAAAAAAATGTTCACAGCAATATGAAGTAAACAATCAACAAATTCCACAATGGACTGAACAAAGTGCAGAGACTTAGCTGATTTTTTTAATGTATGTATGTGTGCACACTCACACACATAGAACTACATAGGAAGATTCATAATAAAGGGTGCTTAGTGTTTAGAGATATACTCCCACTACCTTAAACTGACAGCTGAGATAGGCCAATATAATTTCAAAGCACAATATTCTCACCCAATCCCACAATATACCTGATCTCCACTTATCTAGGGAACAAGAGACTTAAGGTCAGTCTGTTTCTCCCTAGCACAGAACTGCTGGGTTTTTATAAGCGTTTTTAAAAGATGTGTATTACTGAAATACAGGTTTAGAATCTATATCCAGATGGCCAAATAATCTATATTTGAATACTGAATACCTATTTGTAGTGGAAAGAATCGAATGCTGATAATGATAACTACAGTTCTTTTTTCAGCAGTATTTGAAACACAGAACACTTATGGATCATTTTGGGGAAGTTTGTCATCTCTGCCAGTGACATCACTGACAGCAACTCACAAGCTGCCAGAAGGCTGGAATGGCAGAAGATAAATACTAAGCAACAATACAATAAATGTATCTTACACTTTTCTGTATATCTTAGCAATATTTGGAAGGAGTCTACCAAAAATCTTAACTCCTCACAAACACCTAGGAAAACACATCCATCAAGTGATACTTAGTATTTGCCACACCAAGGAGTTTCATGGCATCAGATAGAATGCAGCTGCAAATACCAGAAGCGGGAGGAAGAGATGGGAGAAGCGCCACAGTTGACCGCTCCATAGCACCAGCCAGAGCAGCAACTACCCTACACTGTCTGGGTCTGACTTCCCACCTCTGACCTGGCCTCGGGGTGCGGGAGGAGAAGAGATGGTGTGTGTTTGTGTGAAGAGCTGCCCCGGGGCTATCTCTGTCTGAGGAGGGAAGAACGTGGACAACAAATGTCCCCACATACCTCCCCTAAACTCCTCACATTGGCTCAGGAAAAGGTTCCAGGCCTCGCAGCCCCCCTAAAACTAATTTGTAGATCCCCTGAAACTGGCTCACGAACCCCCAGTTGAGAATGGTTGGCTAACTACTGAGCAATGTTAATGTTCTCTCTAATTTTTTCTATCCATGTACAGAATTAACTTTGTAACCTGAGTTGAGGCATGTGCACATGTGCCCCACCAGCTGAAACATACGCTGCCAGCTCTGGGTTCTATGCTAATCGGATGAGTGGCACCTGAATCTCTCCAAGATGGCCACCTCAATTTACAAGAAACACTGATAATGAGCATCTATTTAACTAAATTATATTACTTTTTACCCCTTCTACTGCATGCTAAAAATTCTCAGGCACTTCCAAGACTAAGATGATGCATTTCTCATCTGTACTGTACTTCACAGCATGCTGTGAATAATAAGAGTATAAGGAAAAATCAGTGATACAGTTAAAATTAACTATGGGTATCTAAAGAATACTTATATATTTTATGAATTTAAAATGTTAATATATTTTAAATGGTAATTGTGAATATAGTATTTACAGGAATGAGATTAACAATGACCTGAAACAGTTATTGTGAAGGCACTTAGCACAGGAAGCCTTCCCCCGCATACTCTTGGTTAACAAATCTCACATGTAACGTTACTTACTGCATCTCAATTGATCAGCAAGTATACAGTGTCAGTCTGTGGTGATTAAATGAGCAATGGGAACCTTAAATCAATTAACATATCTGAACTAGGGATGTAAAATCCTATTTAATAAGTTTACCGGTTAAATGTTAACTGGTTAACTGATTAAATGGAAGCGGGCGGGAGGTTTAAACAGCCCCCCGCCGCTGTAGGCATGGGCTGCTCCAGTCCAAGAGCTTCTGGTCTCCCACAGGCTGAAAGCGGCAGCCCCACTCAGGAGCCTGGCAGGGCTGGAGCAGCTCTATGCCTGGGTATCAGGTAACTGGTTACGCATTAATATCCCTAATTTGGATACCTTTTCTGTCTTCATTTTATTACACAAGTTGTAGCACTAGCATCAGTTTATAGAACAAAATGTTCTTCAAAATTCCTAACAAAATTGTTATCGTTCCTCAAGTATGATTTACCATACACATAATGTAACTGGAGGCCTTCACTGAAATCTCACCTGTTTTGTTGATTTTTTAGTTCCATTAAAGATCTTCCAAGCAAGCCCATTGCCACCACTGGCAATATGTCGGCCAACATCAAATTCCCTGGTAACAGGATTTCCCATCACTGCACTGGTGACATCAGCTGTTACCTTTGTAACAGTACTTTTCAACTTATTCAGCATAGACTCCATTGTTCCAACTGTATGCTATCACATTTGCCTACAAACAGAGGAGGGGGAACGGGGAAAAAAAACACAATTGTTTCCATTTCTGTTAAGAGAAGGTCCTGCAAATCATTAGTATACTTTTAATAGTTCATACTATTAAAAAAACAGAACACAAAGACAGCTGTAGAAAATCTATATTTTAAAAAGGAAGCGTAAAGCTTTATGCTTAATATCGCTAATAATTAACAGTAAAAGGTGCAGTCACATTGAATACATTTTAAAAATAAGTCCTCTCATTGTACCTGCCAAAACTCATGCTTGAAATTCAGTGTTTTGCCTGAAACAACTGCTGATGTTACTAACATTTTCTGTTGTGATGTGTTAATGAGTCCATCAGCTGATGCAGAGAAAGTGAAAGAGCTGCTTTTTCTTTGCTTTGCTTTAGAATTAGTGCTTCTACATGTTGTATGTGGGGTTCTGTTCTTCTACATGGTTATGCAATTTAAGGGACGCAAGAATATGGTTTAGAATAAATTTCATTTTCACCTGTAACTACGTATTAATAATTTCCTCATTTAATTGAAGTATTTAACTATAAACAACTGCTGCTAGTAACAGCAGGAAAACACTATTGTCTAGCAGCTCAAACCATGAATATGAATATATTTCTGCTGCTGGGTGTGCTATTGAAGGAATAAAAGTATAACTTATACTGAAACTGCGACAGAGACACTCTCATGTCTTGCTCCCTACCTGCAGTAATAATTAATTTAGAATCATTATATCAGTAACCCTTTTCAGTTTTTTAAATTTCTGCTGGATGCTTCATCCCACTTACGCTAGGTGGAGAAAATGTGGTGCAGAAAGGAAGGCAGTAGCCCACTTTTGTTCCAGTCCTACAAACGTTTAACTTTAAGCTCATGAGTAGCTTGTGTGGCTTCAATAGGATTACTCACATGCATAAAGTCAGGCAAATAATTATTTACAGGATCAGGGCCTTAATTATGTAGTTATGAAGAGTTAAGTATTGACAAATACATTTGAGCTGAAGCAACTGAACTTCATGATACAGAACCACACCAATGCAGAAGTTTCCTGTTCAACCAGCTACTTAACAGGAATAGAGATCAAGGAATGAAATTTATTTCAGAGTAATTATGTATTTAATTGTAGAGTGTTAATGCTTTGTTAATGCTTTGTTGGAAGGGTGAGTGAAAATAAGTTAGAGAAAGATACTTGCTCAACATGCGAAAGGAATACATCGGGGTGGGAAACCTTTTCTGAGCAGGGGTTGCTGACCCCCCGGCAAGTAGATTTTATGTACACCAGCCCCATGGTGGAATGGCAGGGGGCGAGGAGCTGGAATGACAACATGGGCTCCCCAATGATGGGAGGGGGAGGAGCTCTGAGCCTCGGGGGTCAAATCTAGGCAAGCCGGGGGCTGCAGGCTCCCCACCCTTGGACTACACAAATCAAGAACCAAAAAGATACCAAGATAAAAATATATATGCAGGTTGAAATTCTCTAGTCTGGCAACATCCGTAGTCCAGAATGATTTTTGTTTGCCAGAAACTTGCTTATTATGGACGTGTCCAAGTTTCCCATGGTCTCAAAGTTTGTTTACAGATGCCAGTCCTGGCTCTCAAGCTCTAATTTACCCCTGAATGTCTTCTAAGAGCCCAGTAAGTAGTGGAAGTGCTGCTAATCCTGCTAGACAATACTGACCTCCCATGGATGGACAAACTCTCTTGTTCAGCACTGGTCAGGTTCTGAGGGTGCCAGATTAGAGAGGTTTAACCTGTACTATATGATTTTCTGATATTGCTTTTTCCTGTAACTAACTTTCATTTAGATATGCAGAAACAACATATCCTAGTTGAATTCCTTCTAAGTGACTGTCCATTTCTGAAAATAATCTTCACGTAAAATTGGGCCCATTCATGCAAGGTCTTGAGTGCTCTCTATCCCTGTTGGGGTCAACAGGAGGGCAGTGATCACTACCCCACTGAATGTCTCTTTACTAAGACAGTAATATTGTAAGAACTATTAAGGAACTTAGATACCATGTAACTGAATAGTCGTGCAACTGCACAAAAGGTTATTGGTTACATGACTATTCAATAGTCCCCAGGTGGTCCGGGCTAGTACCTGGTGTGCTCCCAGCCCCACTCCCAGGGAGCCCCCTGCCATCCCATGTTGCTGCATCTGTATCAAAGGCAGCAGTGCGGGGTGGCAGGGGGAGCCAGTTTAAAAACCAGCTCCCCAAGCATACCAGCTGTTTCTGACCACAGCGGGGCGGGGCCCCCTGCCACAAAGCAGGCTCTGTCCCAGGGATGCTCAGACCCCTCGCAAAGAGGGGCTGCTTCGTGGCAGTCTCCACTGCCTCCCCCCACCCTGCTGCCACTATCAGGCGGCACTGTCCTCCCCTACCCCCTCTGATTCACTGATTTGGGCTCAAAATCAGAGTAACCATCTCTCTCAAGGATATGCAACACAGAATCTTAGGGTACAGAATAGGCACAATGGGTAAAGAACTAAGGTAAAACAGGTCTATGACAGTGGGATTAAATATTAAACAAATAAGTTAGTTACTTCAATCTTGTTAAAATAATTTAGATCTATTTTACTTTTTGCTGTTAATATTACTCACTTTTGTATTTTATTCAGCATGGACAATGAAACTATATCAGTTTCTTTTTAATCGCCTACTAACGTTGGTTCTTTGTACTTGAAGTCACAACATGGGAGGAACATGTTCAAAATCCTTATTACACTGAAAGTATGACATGAACAAGTTCCTGTTGATATTTTTTTATGTACAGGCAGTCCCTGAGTTACGCGGATCCGACTTATGTCGGATCCGCATTTACGAACGGGGCTCTCTCGCCCCGGAGGTCGCAGGCAGCGGGTCCGCCACCTCCACCTCCGGGGGGAGCACAGCTGCTCCTG